TAAAACCGTGTTTATGTACATCACAAGCATTGTAGATTTTTTCTGTAATTTGCAATTTTTACACGACATTGACGTCAACACTTAATAATAAAGCAGTCTTTTAACCTTCCTTCTCTCGACACAGCTCTTCAATAATAGAATCAATTGTCACAAGTTAATAATTTAATAACTTTTTTACGCACCTCATAGTACGTCACATTTACTACAGTACCATGTGTAATAATGTTTCCAAAAATAAAACATCATATTTCAGAAACATTAACTTCTAATATTAACATCGTCTAGATAATCCTTCACCTTAACATTTGGCACGAATTTCGTGCTCACTCACTTAGCTACTCTATTTGGCTAGGATTCGACTGTGTAAAACTAACCTAGATTAATGTTGTGCAAGTCTGAAAAAGAGTGCCAAATAACCATGAATGGAAAACGAGACGGAACAACACGGAAGCAAAAGTCACCTGAAACAGATTTCAATAAACCACAAACCTTACAAGGGATTGGATTCCCTTCAACCGGATAATTAATCCGAAAGACGAATTTGCCGAAGATACCTGCAAACCACTAGAAAGGAAACCGTTCATTATCCGGTAATTTGTATATGGGTATGTGAAAGTGCACCGCTACAGGCGAGATATTTCTAAAAAGTAGGTGGAGCAGTCTGCTCGATCGTTATCAATTTCATGCTATCAAAACAAAACAGTTAACTTCTTCATTTCAAATGAGTTCAGATATTTTTAGGCATGTTATGCCACCTTCTTAATTTTTATTAGTTCCTCATTTCACAGGTCTACGACCTCAGTTGCAAAAAAGGTATAAACATGGACCACGCTGCGACCGAACCGAACGGAGTGAAAAGCTAGATTTCTTGTTGACAACACTTTGATAGCTGGAAACGACAATTAAGCTCATATAAATTAATTTTCGGCTCAAATATCGCCCAAAAACTGCTTCGTCACACCGCCTTTATTGTTGTTGGTGAAAAAATAATTTAGTTTAATGTTCTTTTTCGAGAGGTAAATTTGGCGGTGTCATTTTGATCTTTCCATTTCAGAGATAACAATTTAGTGTGGTTTAATGAACCAGTGGTTCTGCTTTATGTGGACATATTTTTAGCGCTCTGTGATCTAAATAAGACACAAAGACACAAAGGACCTTTGATAAAAAGAGCCGTGAATAACATTCAAAGATTTCAATTGCGAAAGTCATCAAGTACACGTACCGAACGTGTGACTGTTTTGACCAAAAATCCAAAAATTAGATATGTTAAAGCTTAAACTGGTTTTTACCGCATCTGTTACATGTTATTACAACATCCAAAGCTGTTAATTAAACACATAAGCGCAGCATTCAGCTTTATATATTACATGTTTTTCGTAAAGTAAAAAATTAGCACGGTATGTCAAACTCATGTTCCAAGAACTTCAATCTCGTACCTCTGCGAGTAAGAAAGAAACAACTAGTCTTAACCTTGCGAAGAATCCGAGGACTTCCTAATGAACTAATCTGACCCTGATTCTAAACTAAATACATAATATGAATACGGCGGCGCTGGAAATTCCAGTTGAAAATTCTTTTAGGTCAGCTTAAGAAGTAAACAACTTTAATTTTTTGCAAAAGACAGAAGAAGACGAATTAATAGATGCCACATTATTTTTGTACTAATAAAAAATGTGCACTCCATTCTCCTATTTGCATAATTAAATTGCGAAGTGTCAAGTTAACACCTTCGATGTGTCTACTCGGAGTTAAAATATTTTCTAATAATTAGAACCTACGTCATTCTAGACATATTTTTACTGTTAGGGTTTCAGTCCTGAAAAAATACACCGACGTCCTTTTCTACAATGTCGTTCCTATTAAGTCTAAATAAATACAAATTACGAAAAAATTGTTGTCATAAATAAACCGAATTTATTTATTATGAGAAAGTGGATCATACTTCAAGCACTCATTCGTAAATAATGAATAAATAATAACACAGGTATAACTAACCAAAAAATCAACAAATTCTTTTTACGCATTAATATAACGGTTTCGAAAAGAAAACAAACAAAAATCGTAAGAAAAAATAACCTCACTAATTAACTAATTAAATATTAATGTCCAGATATAGATACAAATTAAGATAGATAAAGAATGTCCGTTAATTAAATTTTATCATTTGCTGCAGTATAGATTCAAAAATGTACTAATTAATTTAATCAAATTAGAGAAATAATTAAACTTAATTTGTGATTTGTAATTTCTGCAACTATTGCCCAATGTGGCCCATGTGAGAATTTCAACTGTTACATGACAGAATGAGTAGCTACCGCTCGTCGGTAATATGTTGCTAAGTAACATAAAATTTTTGAGTATCGAAATTAATTAATGTTGGTTGAAAAATATTTAGAAACTTTTGCGGCACCAACAAGTGCAAGATTTGTAGCTTGGATTCTGAATCAATTAACTATGAAGAATGAGATAATTTTGCAGGGTTTAAAACAGCGATGCATGAACTGTGTAGAACGTTGGAATTTTTTATTATTGGGAAAAATGAGTAAATAAACCCCAAGCACTTATAAATTATCTATAATTTTATGGTAACTTACTAAAGTACATTTCTTTTGGTGACACCCTTTCACGTACCATGTGTAAGGGTGTTTCTAAGCAACATGTTTTCAAAACTTCGACGGCAATTACGTAACTACCCAGACATTGCGTTATTAATACAAAATTTAAAAAAAAGTATTAGAAAAAACCTAATAAACACATGCATAAAATATAGACTAGAAAATCTAAAAAAGTATTTAAAACAATATTTATATGAATAATCTTGCTCACAACTTTTATTTAATAATGTCAATTATCCCATTTCCATTTTATTAATGTAAAATATTGCTTCTTGTACATAACATGACTTTTTTTTGTTTATAATATTTCGCGGCAAATACCGGGTGGCTATTAATCAAAACTGTAGCAGGATAAAACAGACAAAAGATTATAAACTAACACACGTCACGTCGAGCCCTATTCTGACGTCACAATCTCCCTTTCCCCTGTAAGAAATGGTATCCCGGTCTCCTATTATGCACAGACCTTATTACTAGGGACCTTGGTCAGTTTACAGTTGTCAATTTTGACATCAGCGCACCTAACCCACGTGTTGAAATAGCAGCTATAATATATACATATAATATACCAACTTGATGTCATAAAAATGTTAATGAAATATGCCAACATATACCAAACAAAATAAATGACAAACATTCAAAGTCACTTGATATTGATCATTTAATATTTTACTCCACCTATAATTTCCATATTTGTATATCCCTTCTTCACAGACCTAAAATTTCACAAAATGCTTCAGCTAAACTTAATAAAATATATATGATTTAATGATGAATAGTAGTATTGACATACAAATTTTTAAATAAATGTCAGTGTCATTGACACACATTGAGGTTAAACTAATTAAACTACGCCCTACGTCTGTCATATATTTTATTTCCTTACGGTATTAAACAGATGGCATGGGAAAAAAAATTCTTCCTCTTAGAAAAGCGGTAACAAAATTATTAGCATATTATTTAAGTCGGTTTTACACGGTTTTATACACCCAAACTGAAGTTGTCTACGTTGAACCGGGCCGGCTGCGAAACCTCAAAGTTCTACAGTTTTTAGTCCCACAGGACTCTTTTCGAAATATTTTTTTCCTAACTGCTAAATTAAAACTAAACACATTTTGATTGTTTGAAGTTCAAAATTTCGTTCGTTATTTATAAAATTGTAAAAGCACATGTAAAATAGCGGATGAAATTTTAATTAAATTAAATTAGACTGAAGTTTTCTCCATCAGTTACACAAAAATAAAAATATGTATTAACTTCCAACTATTGCTCCCAATTAACTAAGAAAACATCCAAAGTTCACATATTTTTATAGCTTATATTACAAAATTTGCTGGGTAATCATAAAACATATATTGTTTATGGAAATGTATTCAAATTGATTAGAGAGTAATAGACGATAAAAATTTGGCGCCATAAGTAATTAGTTACGATACTTAATCCCGCGCATGCGCGTTTGAGGTCAGTTAAGCAACTAAAATATATGATGTATGAATTTAAACGAAGGGTTTGAAGCAATGTTTCGAATTTTACATGGTAATGAGTCCACATCACTTTAAGCGAAAAATAAGGTCAGGAGTTGGCCAAGGAGGTAGAGGTACAAAGAAGGAAACTATAATAAATTCATGTTCCTGATTAACATATAAAATCACCAAATCCGACCAGTTGTCATTATTTTGATATGGGGTTGAATTTTCTCAAATATTTAGTCCTTTTTTAAGCCACATAAAATTTTTCTTTCGGTATTCATGCCTGTCTTTTTCTAATACAAGCAAAAGCATCCCACTGAAATGAATCCAACAATTTGATTTATAAAAGAAAATAGTATATTGAATTTTCGTAACATGTTAAACTTAATGAATAAAAATATGACAACTAAATTTAAATATTCTATGATGTTCCTTTCTAAACAAAACATTTCTCACAATGTTAATTTATTTTTAGTCATAGCGTATTAATGCAAAATGTAATTTATTTACGTCGTCTGACTATGTCAAAGCAAGTTGTCTCACCTTTGTGCCGATTCCTTGTCCTAACCTCAAAAAACCTCACGACGCATTTCAATACTTTCGAGTTATTTTTCATTACGCAATAAATTACCATTATAGCAACGACAAAATTACAATTCAGATAAAAACGCCATAAATATTGAGTAATTATAGGTAATGCTTCATCAAATAAACAAAGCCATTCGGGAATGTGATAGCCAAGTGCAGTCGACCATAATACAACAATGAAGTATTTAATAGTTGTGCGACAAAATCCTAATTTGGACGAAGTAATGACTCGTGATGAGGCAAACAAAGCAAACACAAACTTGAATGAAGGTCACAGTATTAAAAGATAAGAACGACAAGCATATTGATATAAATAATTAGTCCTCACCGGTACTCTTTTTCGCATCTTTGGAGTTCTTGGATTGCTTTTTGTCCGACTGGTGGGATTTCTGTGTCCTTTTGTTAGCCATTTTCGGTATTTTTCACTCGTATAACAACATTTAAACGTAAAAAATATATAATACACTATTTATCACTACACTAGGCCGCCATGTTTGTTTTCAATGCAGCTGATTATGATGCAATCGGATTGGTGGAACCAGTCCTGACGTAAGAAGCACGTGGTCAACGACCTATCCCGGCCAACGCTCAAACATTACTTTGTCAATAAAACAAAAGGAAATAAAATAATTTTAGAAAAAAAACTTGGCTGGAAGTCAAACTCGTGTCTGGCACGGGGTAACAAATCAGACGATATAAATTACAACAAACTTATTCACCATTTATTTTACAATTCAAAGGTTGAACAATTTTACAGCTAAAACCTATTACACAAAATAAATACAAGGTGCAGCTGTCATGTAATGGGAGTATTCATATGATGTTGGTCATTTTGTTGTGGTCGCCGGGTATACCGGATATGCCGGGGTTATTAATACTGTTGTGATTCGGGGGCGGTATCGAGAATATTATGGAACGCACGAGTCCGTCTCTAACTGAGTCTCCACTTTGTCCTTGGCTAAAAGTAAAAACGACTCCATTACAAGTGGATTGACTTGGATATGTGCCAATAGGATAACGCCCAATTTTATTCAAAACCACTCCAACTTTGTACACCTGAAACAACAGATCTTCATTATGCAATAAACTCAACGTTTTCATGACTGACCTTATTGCGTTGGATGTAAATTGGGCGATTGAAAGATATTTCAATGAGAGATCTATACACCACTCTACTTGTAAAATGTGTGTATGTCAGACGACTGCCATCAGCGTCTAACAAGTGTGCATATAATAGTTCTGGATACGAAAACGAAGGCTGTCTTTCATCGTCACCAGGTATTTGGGTTGGGACCTTATTACAAAGACAAATTAATACGCATTTAAGTTGGTGAATAATTGTTTACCTGAATCCCATACACACAAACATTTCTATCACAAGTGAAGTTGAGTGCGCAGTCCAATACGCTCGAATTCATACACTCTGTTATTCTCAACAATTGGCGGCAACAATAGAGTTTTTTTGGGGCTTCGCTGCCGCATTCGTTGGTTGATAAACTGAATTTAATCATCGACGTTCGAGATGTGTCCATGGATGACGGTCCTCCCTGCTTAAAAAATCGGAATTACAAAAATTTCCGTTTCGAAAACAACAAAAATCATCTCAGTCCCGAAGATTACAAAAAAATATGGTGTCCGAAAAATACGATCCAAAAACAAAATGAGTTAGAGTTGGCTGTGAGACCAATGGTTTAGGTGGTACCACTGCACAACTAACACAAATCATTTCTTCACTTGACAGATCTGTCACCTGTCAATCTCAAAAATTATTAGTTAAATTTTTTCCGCTCCCAGAAAAATTTACTTTTTATAGATGACTACATACAACTTCATTTTGACTAGGGCCGTATATAAAAAACAGCATAAAAATTATGTCATTCAAGCAGGCAGATTTAAAACCCATAAATCATCCCATTATTTGTGTTGAAATAAATTTGAAAGAGGTTGTTTTAAAAACTCCCTGTTATTATTACTCGCTGATAAGAACAGCATGATCCATTATAATGCACTCAACAGACAAAACTTTTGAAACCTCTGCATAAACTTGTTTTTAGCTGCTTTTAATTTTTATGTAAACAGATACACTCTATCGCAATTACTATAAATCAGAAGTCAATAACAAGGAAACCAAAAAACGTATTGTGATCCTACTTGTAAACAACAAAAATATCGTTATCTCGCTTAATAACGAGACATTGTCTTCTAAATATGTGCTATTAAATTTGCGCAAGGTTGCCGAAAAATAAAAAAGTTAATATAATAACAACAAATAAACCACTTAAAAAATTGTCTGACTTTTGCTTGAAATATTTTACGTGTCCTTGGTTTTTTCTACGAAATAGTGATTAATTTTTAGCGTCACATGCTTTCAGAGGTGGATTTTTTCGAGAACTGTTATTGATACTGAAGCAAATACCTAAAATGTTTAGGGTTTTTCTATGGAAAAAAGTATTCGTCTGAGGCTAATGATGACGTAAATTATAATTTGATGGTCGTAATTTACGTTATGGATAAAATAGCTCTCTTTTATTATTTCTACTTCCAGTCTTATTTAGTAATATGTATTGTAAAAACTGTTCACCCACGCTTGTAATCTCTGACGACAAACATGCGTCTGGTGTGAAACTATGACCTTTGGAGCTAACCACAATCAGGTAAATTAGACGATCAGTTAACGGTGACTCAATCCATTATCATTATCACGCAAATCTGAAGAAAAAAATGTCTTAAAATCGTTTGCAAAATTTATCGTGCATTATGTGTTGCATAACTCGGATTGAATTAATCCTTGTTATTCTCGGAATTACGAAACAAATTGTTGTTCAATCCAAACAACTACGTACGTAAACCCATCATTCCCCTAGGAACGTAAATAAACCACAACTGAACGTCAATGGTTTTCCCTATACCCCGAAATCGACAACTAATTTTTTCCACGAAAAAAAACCAAATCTGCGTAAGTAAACCTGTTTTATCTTTGGAAAGTTAAGTTTGCAATAAGAAGATAAACTGTTTTTTACGGTTTCATGGTAAACACTCTTTAACGGATCCTGGTTGCCTTTTTAATTATATTTAATTATAAAGTAACAATACATGTTAAGATTTCAACTATCACATTGGAAAAAAATATTAAATTTTAATTACATGGCCAACTTCATTCACAGCAAATCTACAGAATGATTTCAGTTTTAAATTATAGGCGCACCAAAAAATTTGTGTAACTGGTTCACGAAAATTCTTTGGCACTCTAGAATGATTTTTTAACTCCATTACGTCTCGACAAAAAAAAATATTTTGGTGTGCCAGTTGCCCATTTTGTACCAAGTTATAGACACGAAATGGTGATAATGATAACGTATTCGTGCTCCCACCCGAAGTAAGTCCAGCTTACTAACGGCAAAATTTATCATTTTTAAAATGGAATATAAATTATAAGGAATACGAATACACAGCTAATTGACAATACACATCATTTTATCAGATGATAGTTCTGTCATCGATTAGAGTCAAAAATTAAACACGTGCTGCTGAACAAATTGATACCTGTATCAAGAATGTCAAGTCAAAAGAAGATTTTTACGCAGGTACCGAAAATTTAAAATTTAAACGCGCCTCGCATACTAAATTGAATCTGTTAATTTCAATAGTACCTTATATGGAAATGCAAGCTCTAGTTACTTTCTTGACATTTCATATAACATTAAATTGTTTGACACATTACGACACACCTTGGTATTGCTATTTCGTTAAAAAAGTAAAAGTATTACAACTAAAATTAAATGGTGACTCTCTATTAATCAAAAGTTCCGTATAAATCTAGTTCATAGTTTGCTCCTTGTAAGATAATGAGGTCGTATTGAAGTGTGAACAGTAATAATGATAGAAGCAGACGCAGTTACCACAATATATGGTGCAGTTTTAAACATGAAGAACCTCACAAGTATTAAAATTTATTATAGTATAAAAAAAAATAAATTAGCAATCTTGGGTCTTAAATAAAATACAAATTGTTAAAAACGGATTCGTTATGACACAAAAAATACAAAAACTGCAGAGTTTTGAAGTTTAAAATAGACAAAACTGTACAGTTGTACCAATTTTACACAAACATTTCTTGTTCAAACTTAAACTTACACCAACGGCAGCTAAGAAATTTAATTTTATGTGGATGGTAGTGTGTACAGTAGTCGCAAAAATTTTTATCCTCGTAAGTAGGATATGTCATTTGCAAAAATCAGTCTCATACTTGCCAAGATAAGACCGATTTTGGCAGATGACCTATTATTTCTTAGAATAGTAGGTCATTGGCCAAAATGAGTCTTATTTTAGCCCGGCCCACGCGCATTTTATTTTCTTAGCGGATAGGTTATTTGGCAAGTACTAGCCCCACCCACCCACCCTTTGTTTTCTTAGAGAGTAGATCACTTGCCAATCGGTCTTATCGTAGCGAGTATAATACTATTGTCTTTGCCATTGCTATTGAAACACCACCTGTTGATTTTGCTTAAAATTTAGCATTTGATAACAGCTCTCGGTTGATTGAAAATTGTCTGAATATGAACGTTGCCAAATTTACGATTAACAAGTGGTGTTTCAATAGAAATGGCAAAGACTATACTAGATTTTTCAGTGTTTCGATTATTCAATTTTCGAATTTTTCAATTTCTCGCTTTTTAAATTTTCAATTTTTTTATCGGTTTTTCGATTTTTGATTTCTCTGGGCAACTAAAAAAAACTTTCGACTTTTTAATTTTACAATTTTGGCAGTTTTCCGATTTCTCAATGATTTGATTTTTTGTCACCGAGTTTTTAGAAGGGAGTAAAAAGTAATTTTTATCAGCGATTACCACGTTTATCGTAACTTTAAAATATCTGAATTTTTTTTTTCTAATTTTCAATTTGTGGATTTTTCGATTTTTCAAAATTTCGGTTCGAATAAATTTCTTTTAGTTAAAAAATCGAAAAATGACAAATCGTGAAAAGGAAAAGTTTTAACTTGAGAACTTGAAAAAATAAAAAAAAAATAAAAACATCCAAAATTCTAAAGTTAAAACTTGAAAAATCAAACGATTGGAATTAAAAACTGCAAAATTGTCAAACAAACTATCAAATGAAATATTCAAAGATTGAAAAATCTCAAAACTAAAAAAAAAATGAAAACTGGAGTTTCTAATTCGATTTTATAAGATTTCTTTTTTTTTAATTTTTCGATATTTCAGTTTTTGATTTTCCGATTAAACAGTTGTACAATTTTCCGATTTCTCATTTATCCGATTTTTCAATTTGTCATTTTTTGATTTTAAAGTTTTTTTTATTTTTAGCAAGTACTAGCCCCGCCCACCCACCCAGCCTTTATCTTCTTAGCAGAATAAGTCATCTGCCAAAATCAGTCTAATCTTGACAAGTACTAGTCCCGCCCACCCACCCTTATTTTCTTAGAGGATATGTCATTTACAACAATCAGTCTCATACTTGCCAAGATAAGATTGATTTTGGCAGATGACCTACTCTTCTAAGAAAATAAACGGTGGGTGGGCGGGGCTAGTACCTTGTCTTAGAAGAATAGGTCATTTGTCAAAATGAGTCTTATTTTGGCAAAAACTAGCCTGGCCCACCCGTCTTTTATTTGCTTAGAGGGTAGGTTATTTGGCAAGTACTACCATAGTGTAAAATTTCATTTTTGAAAAAGAAGTCTAAAAATTCAGAGATATATATTTATCCCGACGTGCTGATTCCAAATTATAGCATGTTTATGGTAACGGAGCAATATTTTGGGAAAATTCGGTGTGAAATTCGAATTTTTTGAAATTTTTGAAAATTGCGATATTTCAATGGACGATTCTGGAAAAATGGTTTAAGTTATCGAAGAAATGAAGCCAGAAGTGACTTCTGCGGCCCAAAATCTACATGGAAGTATTTAGTTAAATTTCGAAAATCGTCGAGAATGGGTCGAAATTTGCATAAGGGAGGTGATACGAATACATAATGAGAAATTTGATTTTTGAAAAAGTCATCTAAAAATTCTGATTAAATTCAGGGATATAGATTCCGACGTGTTGATTCCAAAAATATAGCGTGGTTATGGTCACAAAGTAATATTTTTTTCGAATCTATTATTATCCATTGTTGGTTAAGAATACTTTATTTCTGTTTAATAAAATTAAAGTTTATTTCTTGAAATTTGTTTTCAGCAGTGTATGAAGTTGTTATTCAATTCCCTTTCAGCTTTTTGGGAAATTCGCTGATTCGAACAAATCGCTAATCCGAACACACCTTTCCCCAATTAATTCGGATTATCGAGGTTACACTGTATAGTAGTATAGTAATATTGCAGTATACTTTGACCAGAACTCCTGTGCGGAGTCTGCCTCAGGCGTCTATTGACTTCCACTAATTTTTATGAGAGCTTGAGAACCCACCGTTGTAAACTTGTCTACTTATCCGACCTATTTTGAGTTATACAGACGGCAGTCAAATTTTCATTACGGTCCATCTCGACTATGGCAAGTTTACAAGGGTCTTTAGTCTTGCCCTCATAAAAATTAGTGGAAGTCAATAGACGCCTGAGGCAGACTCCGCACAGGAGTTTTGGTCAAAGTATACTTAAACGGTGACGTCTCTCACACTTGAGGTGAAATATTCATCGAAACATAAACGGACAAATTGGATTTGTATACAAATAAGCAATATAGTTGAAGCCGAATTGGCGCTGGTTGACAAAATACTGGGACAAATCCTTGATTTATGACAGTAGCTCGTGCCGGTGGCTAGCCACACAGAAGGGATTTTATTTCCCATTATTAGATTAGATGGAGCCATATAACCTTGGAGGATTTGGAAGTGTATACATTAGTTCGGTTGAAATACCCTCATTATTGGATCCTTTTCGACTCAGGCTTAAGCATGGAAATATTAATCTCATTAAGAATTAAGGAACGAATTTATTAAAATTATTGTAAGTTCAGCTTTAGGAGTCACATTTGTAGTTATTAATACAACATTTTCCTGAACACAACCCTGGAATTTAAAATCGATAAAAACACAGTTTAAAAACGGTTATGTTGTTTAAATTGTAGCAATTAACTTCCAAAATTTCGCAAGTTTTTAAACTAAAATTTCATTTATAATTCTATACCTCTATAAACAGCAAACTTTTAACAACATTGCTTTCAGATCAGTCAGTAGACTTTTCATTCAATTGACGGATCGCATAGTGTAAACGTACCTTTAGCAAACGACACTGTCCTTTAAAACGGCAAAATTTATAAATGTGTTTATCACCGCTCAAGCAAAGTGTCCGAATGTTGTAAGTTCACGGTTTTTGTTTATTTTTTCGTTTAATTTATTGTTTATTATTACGTACATTTCTGCACTTAACGGTTAAAACAAATCGACTTATTTTCAACACACATTTAATTTATTTCAAAACTTAAGGAACATACAACAAACAACTAAAGTGAATCTTCGCATCATTACTTTAAATTTCTCGTTTTGTAACTTGTAAAAATTAGAACCACACCACTGTGACAGTTCGGCGTAACTTCTTCCTCTGGAAGGTGTAAAAATAACCGTTTAAGACAGACCTTATTATTTTTGTAATATTTAATAATAAAAAAAGGTATAGTACTGGTTTATATAGGGCTTTCATTGTTGTTTGATATCTAGTAGGCCATGGACTTTTAAAACCGGTTGGCACTTCCTGTGTCAAATGTCAAAAAGAAAAGTGGCCAAACATATCAAAAACAGCGAGAAATAACAAAATTCGAATAAAATTGCAACAAATGTTGAAAATGCTGTCCACAGCAACCAAACACAGGTTTATTGATGGAATTATTGTAACTAACGTCAAATTTCAAATTGAATTTGACAATCTGTCAGTAGTACCAACTTATGAACAAAATGCATGACCTACTAGATATCAAACATAAATGAAAGCCCTGCATTATCTATTCAATTCACATTTCAAAGAACTCGCGATTGTTATTTTATTTAGTAACATTATAAATAGTACAGTCTGTGCAACAAACCCGTGTATCTTGTTCATTCAATTTTATGAAAAATTAAAATTCTTCACTGGCCAGTTAATTTTCAAGGTAAATTGTGGCATTGGTGGATCTTTAATATGTCAACAGAACAGATAATAGGTATACATACGTCCGCGTCAAGTTTTGAAAGATTCAGAAGCAAATGTTTGAATCAAAATAACAGCAGTTTCACAAAGTCAGCTTTCAGACTCAATACCTTTTTATATTCTATTTGATTTCATCCATTTTAATATAAGTACAGCAACGTAGAAGAACGAAGTGAACTCTATTCTTTAATATCAAACATAAACTGAGAATTATTACCATGAAAATTGATTCATTTCTGCATTGCTTCCTTCGCCTTGGAATTCTGGATGTTGAAAACCCTGCTGGCATGGGTGTAGATGAACTTGATGAACATATATTCATCAAAATCGCGAACTTCTCTGATTCCGTTAGAAGATTGCAATTTGCTGGAACTTCAGCAAATTGTTGTGGTGTTAATGTTAAGAATCTGATTTTCATGATTGCGTCCCGAACGGTGGGATGATTTGCACTGCCTGCTTCAGTCGAGGGATTGGCTATAGAGTTGAAAATGCATTTAAAAAATGAAACTATAACCCCAAAGCAAAACAAAATAAAAAAGCACTGTACATGCAAACACTAAGTGAAACAGTGTGAGCAAAAGTGGAGCAAATAATAAATCTAGTTAATAAATTAAGCACAATTACCTATACCATCTAGTCTAGGTACTTTCGCACCTGAACTTTGGTTGTGTCTGGCAGCATATCGAGATATGGCAGAGAAAAGCTCCAACTCGGAACTTATATTTAATTCGTCTTGATCAAACACCGTTAAAATCGTGCTCAACTCGACATCGTCAAAACTACTCTCTGAAAGAACTTCTTGAGTTTGATTGCAAATTATCTACAAAAGCAAAGTGAATTTTTCAGAAGTGATACATTTCCACAACTCACGAGCATACACTTTTCCATTAGAATTGGTTCTTCAAACAATTTAGCGAACTCGTAAGCTCTACAAGCGTTCTTGGGGTACAGATCTGACCATAAGTACTTTGTACATTCCTCCACTAAATGTGGCAGCATGTATTTTTTCGCTCCGTAGCACAGTTCACAGGCTTGATCGAACGAGGTGAGATTAATTTTATCAGTATAAATGTACCTGAAAGTCTGTGTCACATTTTTTCCATTACTTAAAAATAACTCACTCTAATAGCGCCTTAAATGCATCTGGTTGAACGTCAAGAATTGCAATGGGGTCTTTTTCTGCCATTCCCCCAAAAAACATAGCCTCAAAAACTGGGCTTGACATAGCCAAAAAAAGCTTGTGACCTTCCAAGACTTGTTGATTGGGTTCTGTTCCCACGATGAATCTACAGTCACTCCACATTCCGGTCTCCAGAAGGTATTGGCCCCTTTCTTTTACCAATTTTCGAGTGATTTGCCAATCACAAGGGGGAGGTGGTGCACTCATTTCTTTGTTTTGTGAACTTAGAACTGAAACGTTACAAAGATGAATAAAACGCACCAACGAGGAAATTCACGACTAAAAAATGTGCGTTTACTTACACCTTAAATTATTAGGTTTCTAAATACAAAATCTGTGATGTAACTTCCTTTGTTATTTACCAGTATGTTGAGGAATTAAACACCAGAAAAATAATTATAACACTGTTATTGTTTTTCTTTTGACCTTTCTTTCTGTGATATGAACGTCATTACGTCAGTGAAATGGACGATGGGTAGCGTAGTTGGAAAGTTAGATTTCTGTGTTAATACAAGATAAAATGGTGTGCGTCTTCGCTACGCCAACTTGTCATATTAATAGGTGATCTTGAAAAAATCGCAGGAGTTATAGTAGGCCGAAAATAACTTCTGGAGGTCAAATTCTAAAGAAAATAGTGTTTGGCTAAGTTTAGAAGCGGTAGAAAAATTGTCGAAATTTTTATGCGATTGAAAAATTTTGCTTTTGGAAAAAGTTGTCTTTAAATCCACAAAAAATCTGGCTCCTGGGAATGATAAAAAAAATATTCGGTTTGAAATTTAATCAAAAAATTCTAAAGGTTATAGTAATTCGATGGGCGAGTTTGAAAATCTAATAGAAGTTATTGAAAAAATGAAGTCGAAAATAAATTCTGGAAGTTCAAATCCGCAAGAAGACGTCTTTGGGTCAGTGTTGAGGGTGATCGAAAAATGGTCGAAATTTTCAAAACGTGGGGGACCTGCTAAAAAATTCTACTTTTAAAAAAGTTGTCTAAAAATCCCAAAAAATCTGAGATAGAGGTAACGACGGTCTATTCGAAAAATATAAGTAGGGTATTCATGGTTCCGGCAATGATTTAGAAATTTTGTGATTTTTCAGTTTTTCGAGTCTTCAATTTTTCTTCTATTTTTCAATTTTGCCCTTTTTTCTTAATATACATAGTATTCTTTGAACAACACGATACTCAAAAACATGTTTTTAATTTCTTGTAAAGAAATAAGTATTTTGCAGTTAAGCTTGGTTCACGGCGAATAAAAAAATCATCACAATTGAGACAGGGCGGGTGGGCGGGCTTACATTTTGCCTTTTTGTTTTAATATGTGTAGACTTCTTTTCATAACAAGAAACTTAAAACATGTTTAAAATGAAAAATTTATAGAAGGAAATATCGATTTTGCAATTAGGCTCCGCCCCATAATTGCAAAATCCCTATTTCGTTCAAAAATGTACCATTTTAACCATGTTCTAAGTTTCTTGTTGTGAAATGATGGCTATGTATGTTAAGAAAAAAAGGTAAAATGTAAGTCCGGCCCACCCACCCTGTCTCAATTGTAATGATTTTTTTTATTCGTCGTAAGTCGAGGGGCGGAGCTTAATTGTAAAATCCTTATTTTTCTGTCTATTTCCCTAGTCTTATTTGAGATTCTAGTTGGCCCCATTGTAACTTTTTCACCTTTTTATTGTTCTGTTTTTGGTAAAGTTTTTCTATCCATCAATACATTAGGACCACACTTTTCCCATTTTTTTTAATGATTTCATTAAACTGAAGACGAAACAAAGGACAAAGGAATAAGACAATCAATGAAGTTTTCACGTCTAACCGGAAGACATGTAGTCTTCAAAATTTTCACGTGTAAATTAAAAACAGTAATGCTACAGCCAACTATAAGTCAAAATGTTTTCCAACGCATGCATTTCGTCGATTGAGAACTTGTTTGATCCACAGACCGGAATGCGCTCAGGCTAATGTCGACTCTAAGCGCTGAGAATTAGTCGAATTAAATTTTACATGTTTTTAGTCACAATTTTGGTGGTTTTTTATTTTCCATACTTTCTCAATGTCTCGATTTTTCGACTCCTCGATTTTTCGATCTTTGGTTTTTCGATTTCTCCATGTCTTTGAATTGTTTAATGTTTCGATTTTTCGATTTGTCGGTTTTTCGATTTTTTTATTTTTCGGCAGATTTTTCCATGCTTCGATTTTTTAGTGATTCGATTTTTCAATTTTCCAATTTTTTTTATTTTCGAGTTTCGATTTCTAGATTTTTTTATTTTTTCGATTTTTTGATATTTGAAAATCTCCATTTTTCAATTTTACGATATTTTAAATTTTCGATTTTTCTTGATTTTTTTTTAATTTTTCAGTGTTTTAAATTTTACATTTTTCGATTTGTCGGTTTTTCGATTTTTTTATTTTTCGGTAGATTTTTCCATGCTTCGATTTTTGAGTGATCCGATTTTTCAATTTTCCAATTTTTTTAATTTTCGAGTTTCGATTTCTCGATTTTTTTAGTTTTTCGATTTTTTGATATTTGAAAATCTCCATTTTTCAATTTTACGATATTTTAAATTTTCGATTTTTCAATTTTCCTTGAATTTTTTTTTATTTTTCAATGTTTTAAATTTTGCATTTTTCGATTTTGTTCAGTTCTTTAATAATTTTAAATTTTTCAAATTTTGACGTTTTTGAATCTTCAGTTTTCCGATTTCTCCATTAATCAGTTTTTTTATTTTTCCATTTCTCGACTTCCCAGTTTCCATTTTTCAGTTCTTCAATTTTACGATTTTTCAGGTTTTTGATTTCTCAATTTTTCAATTTTTTAATTTCCCAATTTTTGGATATTTCGTTCAATTTTGTGATTTGTCAGTTTTTCGCGTCTTCAATTTTTCTTCTATTTTTCAATTTTTCGATATTTCAGTTTTCGGATTTTTTAGTATTTCGACTTTTGGATTTTTCGATTTCTCGACTTTTTACTTTTTGGATTTTGAATTTTTCGTTTTTAAAACTTGAATATTTTAACTTTTCAATTTTTTAATTTTCGATTTTCCATTTTATCTTTTAATTTTTCGGTTTTCCTTTTTAATTTTTCGATTTTCCAATTTTTCGATGTTTCGAAATATAAATAGGCCAAAATCGAAAAGTTAAAAATGGAAAAATTGATAAATCGAGAAATGAAACAATCAAAACATCGAAACATCCGAATCTCGATAAATCGAGATGACAAAAAATTGAAAAATAGAAAATTTAAACATTCGGAAAATTGAAAAATTGAGAAATTGAAACATAAAACAGTCGAAAAACTGAAAAATCTAAAATTTAAAAAACAAAAAGATGCAAATCCAAAAAATAAAAAATCGAAAAATCCAGAAGTCGAAAGATCGAAAAGTCGAAGAGTCGAAGAATCGAAATACTGAAAAATTCCAAAACTGAAAGGAATATCCAAAAACTGAGAAATTAAAAAATTGGAAAATTGATAAATCGAAAAACCAAAAAGGCAAAACTGAAAAATCGAAGAATTGAAGAACTGAAAAATCGAAGAATTGAAGAACTGAAAAATTGACATGAATTTAAAAAATTGAAAAATCGGATAACTAACAAATCGAAACATCGAAAAATTGGAAAATCGAAACATCGAAAAATTGGAAAATCGAAACATCGGAAAATTCAAAAAGTCGAAAAATCTAAATACTGAAAAATCCCAAAACTGAAAGAAATATCCAAAAATTTGAGAAATTAAGAAATTGGAAAACTGAGACATCGAAAAACCAAAGAAGCAAAGTCGAAAAATCGTAACCTTATTAAATCGAAAAATTGAAAAATCAAGAACCTGAAAAATCGAAAAACTGTGGGTAGGTAGGCCAAGCTAGTAGCTGCCAAGATAAGACTGACTTTGCCAACTGGAATACCCTGTAAGAAAATCTCAACGTGCTAATTAGAAAAATATAAAGGTTTATTGTTCCAGAGCAGGATTTTTTAAATATTCGGTTTGCAAAAAAAAGTAATAAGCCTAAAAATTACCATATTTCAATTGGCGATTCTGCAAAAGTGGTACAAATTTTCGAAGAAATAAAGCCTAAAATAACTTGTAGAGATTAATTTTACAAAAAAATGTACTTACTAATTTTCGAAGGTGGTCGAAAAATTATGAAAAATTTCACAAGATAGACATAAAAAAATGAAAATGTACGCTTTTGAAAAAATAGTCTAAAAATCCACAAAAAGTGCTGATTTAAAAATAATACCGTTTTTATGGTCCCCCACCAAAATTTTTGAGATATTCGGTTGAGACGTCAAATTAAAAAAAAAAAAATACTAAAATTTCCAACATTTCAATTAGCGATTCTGGAAAAGAAAATAAATGTTTTTAGCTAATTTTCGAAAGTGGTCGAAAAATGAAATGACTTCACCAAATTTTTGATAGTAACGGTCAGATAAATTATAGTTAGGGTTTTACCAACTACATAATATCGTTAAAACATATCTAACATTTCACAAGTGTTAAATCAGTGGTTTTAGAGCAATAAAAGCGTCAGTGGACGAAACGGGAGAACAACTTTTTCGTATTCTAAGATTTATGGAACGTCAAGAAAACAAAATTGCAATACATACTATACTATGCTCGTGAAGAAAAAAGAAATTTTAAACAAAAATACAAGTGAATATGCGCCACAACAAGTAGCAAGGTATATAAGAGAAGCGAGGGTGGGTGGGTGGTTGGGCGGAGCTAGTATCTGCCAAGATAAGACTGATTTTTGCAAATGACATACCTTCTAAGAAAAGAGAGGGTGGGTGGGCGGGGCTAGTACCTGCTAAGATAAGACTGATATTGGCAAATAACATACCCTCTAAGAAAATGAAGAGTAGAGAGTATATCATTTGGCAAAATCAGTTTTGTCTCAGCAAGTACTAGCCCCGCCCACCCGCTCTTTATTTTCTTATAGAGTAGGCCATTTGCCAAAATCAGTCTTATTTTGGCAAGTACAAATGTTGTCGTTTTGAAACAAACGTTTTTATTTAGTGATTTCAATATAAAATGCACAAAGAAATGACAAAACAGATAGCGATGACAGTAAGATAGCGAAATTTCTAGGTTAGGACATTTCACAAGGTTATTTGAATTGACAGATATTACACGTCCTTTCCAAAATAAGTTTAGCACATGCACAGTTTCAATGAAGCGGCAAAATTTGACCAGAATCCAAAGACCACTTGATCTAGACCATCATTTATGTACACCCAGTATAAGTTTCAAAGGTGGTAGGAAAATGGTCGAAATTTTCAAGGGTTAATGAAAACTTTTGGCTCTGAAAAATTGTCTAAAAATCCACAAAAAATTGTGGGAAATAAATACGGACGTACTGACTCGAAAAATATAGCGTGTTCGTAGTTCTGGGCCCTGATTTTTGAAATATTTGGCTTGAAATTCAATTTTTTTGACAATCGTAAAAATTGTTGTGTTTCAAATGGGCAATTCACAAAAAATTGCAAAAGTTATCGCAAAAATACGATCGAAACTTCTGCAGGTCGAAATCTCAAATCAGTCCAGAGAGGCGTCTGTCTATATTTTATCGGAAATTTTGTCAGGATCACGAATCTTTGCGTATTTTTGCTATAGCCCCACCAGCATCCACCTCTTTTTTTTTGGGAAGCCTTACCGAAAATTGTCTCAGAATCATGAATTTATGCTTATTTTTGTTGTTCGTCAAAAAATAACTGAAAAATATACGGATTTATTCTGGCGCATCCACGATTTCTTATAAAATTTTGAAACTACAGGAATCGACATTAAAAAATGCTCAAATCGGCCTGGAAAGGCGACTATTATTTTAGATATTTCCTCAGATTCACAAATCTGAGCTTCTGATGTACAGTGGGGTCATAAAAACTGGACCACTTGGTTTTGACACTTCAAAATTTTAAAATGCTTGACTGTAATTAATGTTTTGTTTGACAAATCAGATAACTTTAACCTTGACCAACTCAATATAGCTCCGTTGGACTAAAAAGTTGATGGTTGATGATGTCATCACAAAATTTTGTGATAAAAAAACTATGGAAACATATGCATAGCTTTACCTGTAATTTCGTCAACTCTGGATGTGACGTCATATGGTTAGAAAACGTGACGGGTTTCACTACAATCGAATAAATGATGAAATAAATGCCATTAAAGAAATAAATGTGTCTAAGAGATAAATACTTCGTTTACTATATTGTGATACATTGCAGTATTAGAAAAAGGAATAAACCACAAACGCAAAAATACTAGAAAACGTATTTTTACACAATGCATTTTTTCCACTGGATTCTATTCCAAAACATGCTTCAATTATTGCTTTTAATATTTTAGTATCAAAGAATTTGAATGAAAGTTCAAACGATTTTTTTTATGAAATAACAAATGTTTTGTAACACTATAATTTAATTAAAGATCGGAGGACCCGGGTCGTGGGTTCAATTCCCGCTCTGCCTCTGGGTGTTTGTGTACGTTCCATTTCCTAGAGTAATTGGGCCTCGATCTGTTGGAAACCAAATTTAATAAAATAAACTAAAATAAAATAAAAAAAAAATGGGGCAAGCCAAAAATATTCTGCCGGACTTTCCAAACCTGGTAAAGTAAAATTACGTACCGCAATTTTATTCCCAGAAAATTCTTATCTCCCAACTGGAGAATTCTAGTTACTGTTATTAATATAATACTAATTTAAATGATGAGAATACAACAAAGATAAGGAATAGGTACATAATAATTTCCATATTATTATTACAACGTATATTTATGCATTTGCTCAGCGAGAGGAGTATAATTTTCTAGAATTGAGTATGAGAAATAGTGCTTCAAAGAAAATCAACATGAATAATAATATTATCGTTCTTATAATTTATTTAATACGTTTCAAAAATACATTAATAATACTTGGACATTCACTTTAAATAGGTATAATTTACGTTATATGTATAATAATTATATATAATAAATATAATATGTGCAACAAATAGTGTCTGTTCCACCTACACTGTTATTGACATTCGAAATTATGACATAAGCTCTTAGTCTCTAATTTAAGGAGCGATATAATTATATTGACTCGAAAGATAACTTAATAGAGGCGAGTAATTAAATTACAAAAGCTGTGGTACAAGTTAGTATAAAGTCAAGTGTTTTTTTTTTTCTATTTAAACGCCGATATAATTACTTAATTGACAACAATAATTGTGAAGAGTCCAAGCCTCCAAATTTCTTCTCGTTTTTTCGATCCTCACTATCCAGTTATTTGTTACTCAAAATTCGTTTTTGTCAAACCGATTTCATCCTTAATGTTTCTCTCTTAAGTAAATTTAGCAATGCCAAAATTAGTAAGAGATTAGTCAGTTTTCGTGACGGAATTTTGAGCCTCACACACTAATTTACGTTAATAACGAGCCTTATAGCTGGAACCGACAATATCAGCACTACTAATAGTCTTCATTCTCAACAGACTCATAGAGAGAACATTCCAAATACTTTCCAATATTTAACACAGATATAAAATAGATAGTTTAACAATATAAGTTAACAAACACGGAGTGCTGTAATTGATTCTTAGTTACACGTAAAGTACAGAGCATCGAAGCTTAAATGCAACATTAGATGAGATTTGTAAAGAGAAAGAACACTGAAGTTAAGTAAGTCACAAAGCTTTCTTCGTTGAATAATATACTCTCTTAAGCCATCTGCTCGTACTTAGCTTTGTTAATAACGCTCGCCAGGCAGCAAGATAACACCACCCCCACTAGAGGAAAGAATGCTATTCCTACCGCCGCACCAGCAACAATTCCGATATTAGAATTAAGGAATTCCACGACTTTGGTGTAACAGCCCTGAAAATTTTTGTTTAGTTGTTTGTTCAGTGGGAGAAGGTAATTACCTCGGTGTAAATCTGCTCGGCGTCTTCAGTGTTGCAGTGTTCCTTAATGCAGCAGGATTCCGGGATTGGGGTAGATTGAGATAAGTTCAACCAGTCCATGGACCCGTGTTTTCCACAACAGTGGAGCTGACAGATAAGAAATCAGGTATAATGTTGTAATTTATTAATAAATCAAGTTTTTGTTCAAATTCATGTGAAACTGGCGTAATTATATTATATAATTTATGAGCTGGTGTAATCGTTTCGTAGTTCGTCTACTGTGGGTTCCATTTGAGTTGACGGCGTACAAATTTCTAGAGTTTTCGTTGATTTTAATTGAAATAAGTCGCGACAGTGTTAAAACCGTATCCATTTTCTAAGAAAGTTGGTAAAACTTCTTTGTTATTCAGCACCTATTCCTGCTAAAATCGTTTTTTAAAGTTTGTCCCAAATCGTCTTTTTGTTGAATTTTCGTATTACGTTTCCCTGTTTTCATCATATTTTAGATTTTATCCAAATTTTATGCTTTTTCAACAATAATAATCTCTTGATAAAAATCTTTCAGTGTCTCCACAAAATGTGTACGAATTTTTATTATTAAAGTTTTTAAAGTCAACCCAGCAAAGTTTTACCGAGGGAATCATAAAAAACACGATCACAGACAGCTATCGATTGTTGAACATTTGTCTTTGATAGAATTTTCGTTTTTCTAGATTACCATCAATTTGAAAGTTTGAGCTGAAAGTGCGACAATCAAAAAAAAATTTCAATGCAGGTCACAGAGAAATAAAAAACCAATTAAAGACATTAACAGAATAAAAATTAACGTTAAAATCAGTACTCTTTAATTATATTACCAATTTAAAACTGAGGTAATGCTTCAAATAGATTGTTATTTATGACGTGAGAAACTCAGATGGTAATATATAGATCCGAAACGACAAAGATAACTGTCTAATAAGATTCATGTACCTACTTAAAAAAAAATCGATTTCGTTACCGTAACACACAGTATTAATAATAATGATAATCATAGTAACGCTATATTGGTATTAAATACATCTACTTATATTTACGTACGTCATAAATCCCTTCTCTTTTTCTCTCCGGGCCCCCTCTCTCTCTCTCTCGGTCTCCGTGATTCTTTACCCTCTTAAAAAAACACAAGGGGTCTCTGAGATTTTTTCTCAAAAAAGACACCAGGAGATCCCATGATCCTTTGGCATTCTTAAAAAAAACACTAGGAGCCCGCCAGATCCCTGGGCATTCTCAAAAAAACACTAGCGACCTCTACGATTCTTTGGCATTCTTAAAAAAGGTATAAGGGCCCCTTGACATTCTTGGGCATTTTCAGAAAAGACGCTAGGAGTACCCGTGATTCTTTACATTCCTTAAAAAAAGACACCAAAAATTCCCGAGATTGTTGGGCATTCTCAAAAAAAGACACCAAAAGTTCCCATGATTCTTTATTGGCATCCTTAAAAAGATACATGCAGACCTTGCGTTTCTTGAGCATTCTCAAAGAGACACTAGTCCCCCCCCCCCCCTCCCAAACTCTTAAACATTCTTAAAAAAGGCAACAGGGGCGCCGGAGATTCTTGGGCATTCTCAAAATAATGGACCCTAGAGACTCCCATCACTCTTAGGCATTCTCAAAAAAGGGCCTAGGGATCCAAAAGATATTTTGCATTCTTAAAAAAGACACAAGGGGTCCGCGAGATTCTTGGACATTCTCAAAAAAGACACCAGGAGATCCCGTGATTCTTTGGTATTTTTTAAAAAGACACAAAGAATCCCCGAGATTCCTGACCAATCTTAAAGAAACACTAGCCACCTCCACGATTCTTTGACATTCTTAAAAAAGTTATAAGGGACCCTGAGATTCTTGGGCATTCTCAAAATAATGGACACTAGAGGCTCCCATGATTTTTGGGCATTCTCAAAAAAGGATCTAGGAATCCCCAAGATTTTTTGCAATCTTAAAAAAATACAAGGGGTCCTCTAGATTCTTGGGCATTCTCAAAAAAGACACAAGTAGCCCCCGAAATTCCTGGGCATTCTCAAAGAAGCACTGGGGACCTCCGCGATCCTTTGGCATTCTTAAAAACGGTACAAGGGGCCATGAGATTCTTGCGTATTCTTAGAAAAGACGCTAGGAGTCCCCATGATTCTCTGAGGTCCTTAAAAAAGGCACAAGGGCTCCCTGAGATTCTTGGGAATCTTCAAAGGAACACTAGCCGCCGGTGCCTCAGATTCTTAGGCATTCTCAAAGAAAGCCACTTGGGACCCTCGTGATTTTTTACATTCCTAAAAAAGAGACATCAAGGATCCCCGAGATTGTTGGGCATACTCCAAAAAGACATCAAAAGTTTCCGTGATTCTTTGACATCTTTAAAAAGATACAAAAAGGGGCATTCTCAAAGAAACATTAGCCCCTTCCCCAAAATCTTCGACATTCTTAAAAAGGCACAAGGGGCTGCCGAGATGCTTAGACATTCTAAAAAAGAAGACAGGGGCCCCGGAGCTTCTTGGGCATTCTCAAAGTAATGGACACTAGAGGCTCCCATGATTCTTGGGCATTCTCAAAAAAGGCTCTAGGAATCCCCAAGATTTTTTGCAATCTTAAAAAAATACAAGGAGTCCCCGAGATTCTTGGGCATTCTCAAAAAAGACACAAGTAGCCCCCGAGATTCCTGGGCATTCTCAGAAAAGACGCTAGGAGTCCTCGTGATTCTTTGAGGTCCTTAAAAAAGACACAAGGATTCCCTGAGATTCTTGGGAATTCTCAAAGGAACACTAGCCCCCGATCCCCCAGATTCTTAGGCATTCTCAAAGAAAGCCACTTGGGGCCCTCGTGATTTTTTACATTCCAAAGATCCCCGAGATTGTTGGGCATACTCCAAAAAGACACCAAAAATTTCCATGATTCTTTGACATCCTTAAAAAGATACAAGAAGGGGCATTCTCAAAGAAACACTAGCCCCTTCCCCAAAATCTTTGACATTCTTAAAAAGGCACAAACGGCACCCGAGATTCTTGGGCATTCTAAAAAAGAGACCGCGGCCCCGGAGATTCTTGGGCATTCTCAAAATAATGGACACTAAAGGCTCCCATGATTCCTGGGCATTCTCAAAAAAGACCCTCGGAATCCCCAAGATTTTTAGCATTTTTTAAAAAGACACCAGGAGATTCCCTGATTCTTTGGCACTCTTAAAAAAGACACAAGGAGCCCTCGAGATTCCTGGGCATTCTCAAAGAAACACTAGCGACCTCCGTGATTCTTTGGCATTTTTAAGAAAGGTGTAAGGGGCCCTGAGATTCTTAGGCATTCTCAGAAAAGACGTTAGGAGCCCCGTGATTAAAGAAACACGGGGACTCCTAGCGATCTCAAAGGAAATCCTTAAAAAAGACAAGGGTTACCTGAGATTTTTGGGAATTCTCAAAGGAACACTATCCCCCGCTCTCCCAGATTCTTAGGCATTCTCAAAGAAAGACACTTGAGGCCCTCGTGATTCTTTACATTTCTTAAACGGAGACACCAAGGATCCCCGAGATTGTTGGGCATTCTCAAAAAAAACACCAAAAGTTCCCGTGATTCTTTGCGTTTCTAAAAAAACATACAAGGAGGGGCATTCTCAAAGGAACACTAGCATCTTCTCCAAATTTTTTGAATTTCTTAAAAAGAGGCCGCCGAGATTCTTGGGCATTCTAAAAAAAGAAGACGGGGGCCCCGGAGATTCTTGGGCATTCTCAAAATAATGGAGACTAGAGGCTCCCATAATTCTTGAGCATTCTCAAAAAAGACCCTAGGAATCCTCAAGATTTTTTGCATTCTTAAAAAAGGCCCAAGAGGCACCCGAGATTCTTGGGCATTCTAAAAAAAAGACAGGGGCCCCGGAGATTCTTGGGCATTCTGAAAATAATGGACACTAGAAGCTCCCATGATTCTTGAGTATTCTCAAAAAAGGCCCTAGAGATCCCCAAGATTTTTTGCATTCTTAAAAAAACGCAAGGGTTCCCTGAGATTTTTAGACATTCTGAAAAAAGACACAAGGAGCCCTCGAGATTCCTGAGCATTCTCAATGAAACACTAGCGATCTCCGCGATTCTTTGGCAATCTTAAAAAAGGTATAAGGGGCCCTGAGATTCGTGGGCGTTGTCAGAAAAGACGCTAGGAGCCCCCGTGATTCTTTGAGATCCTTAAAAAAAACACAAGGGGCCCCTGAGATTCTTGAGCATTCTCAGAGGAATACTGGCCTCTTTTCCCCCACATTCTTAAGCATTCACAAAGAAAGGCACTTGAGCCCCCGTGATGTTTTACATTCCTTTCAAAAAGACACAAAAAGTTCTCGTGATTCTTTGGCATCCTTAAAAAGATACAAGGAGACCCTGAGTTTTTGGACATTTTTAAAGGAACACTACCCCCCCCCCCCTCCAATTATTTGACATTCTTAAAAAAGGTACAAGGCCCCCCCGAGATTCTTGAGCATTCTAAAACAAAGACACAGGGGCCCTGGAGAATTTTGGGCATTCTCAAAGTAATGGACACTAGGTGCTCCTATCACTCTTAGGCATTCTCAAAAAAGAATCTAGGGATCCCTAAGATTTTTTGCATTCTTAAAAAAGACACAAGAAGCCCGCGAGATTCCTGCGCATTCTCAAAGAAACACTAGCCACCTCCGCGATTCTTTGGCATTCTTAAAAAAGGTATAAAGGGGCCCCGAGATTCTTGGGCATTCTCAGAAAAGACGCTAGGAGTTCGCATGATTCTTTGAGATCCTTAAAAAAGATGCACAAGGGGTCCCTGAGATTCTTGGGCATTCTCAAAAGAACACTAGTCGCCGCACTTTGGGCCCCCGTGATTCTTTACATTCCTTAAAAAAAGACACCAATGGTCCCCGAGATTGTTGGGCATTCTCAAAAAAAGACACCAAAAGTTCCCATGATTTTTTGGTATCCTTAAAAAGATACAAAGACCCCTGAATTTCTTGGACATTCTCAAAGAAACACTGGCCCCCGCCCCCAGATTCTTTAGCATTCTTAAGAAACGCACAAATGGCCCTCGAGGTTCTGCGGCATTCGCAAAATAATAGACACTAGAGGCTCCCATAGTTTTTAGGCATTCTCAAAAAAGACACAAGGGTCTCCTTAGATTCTCTGGCATGCTTAAGGGAAACACGAGGGGTGCCCGAGATTCTTTGGCATCCTTTAAAAGGTCACAAGAGGCACCCGCGATTCTTGGGCATTCTCAAAAAAGGACACTAGGAGTCCCCTGGATTTTTTGGCATTCTTCGAAAGGTGCTGTAGGTGCTCTTATCAGTTTGGACCGGAGTTAAGGCGACGGATCAAGGGATTCTAGGTACCAGTGTAATGAGATATGGCTTTGGACCGGAGTTGGTCGCCCTAAAGAACGATGTCTTTTAAATCAAAATGTAAAATTCATGATGAATTTATGTAATACCAAAATTTTTAAAAATATTTGTAAGTGAGTTTTCTCATGAAATACATAGTCATCTCCTTTTTGCATTTTATAGTAATTAATAATTTTCTTCAAAATAAAATGTCTTCTCCTTTTCTATGTATAAGAGAAAAATTTACTTGAATTCGACATGTAGTGAAAAAATTCGACATACTGATAACAAAATTCGATATTTTGAGTTTAAAACTCTCGTTTCCGTCTGTCTGTCGTCTATCTGGGGTCTCAATATAATCTACAAATATCTTCGTAAAGAATATAAACTTATTTTTTTTCTTTGAGAGGGTTAACTTCTACTTCTTCTAATTTTAATCTTTGTAGGTTCATTTTCCGTATAAATCTGCATGATTCGTTTTTTTGAAAATTTTTCTATTAATACCTTTTTGAATTTCTTTTCACTTACTCTTGTTACATTTTTCTATGATAAGATGTAAGCTTGCAATGTACTTAGAAATTTATTTTATATGTATTGTATCTATTGCTTACAAAGAAGTTTTCAGGGCAACAATATTTTGTCCTTACAACAGTCGGCAAACACTGTATGATAGAAAACAAAACGAATAAGAGCTGATTGTGAGACTGGTTGTATAGGTGGTAACACTGACACATCACTTTGTCTAGTCCGGTGAAAATTCTGTCACCTGTCAATATTAACAATTCAGCACGTGCAGTATTCATATTATGTATGTGTAGGGTATATACGACGAACCCCAAGAAGAAGAAAAAAATATGTTTGAAACGTTGGGAAATAAATTGAAATGGAATGATGGTGTTTTTCTCAAGAAATTCTACGCAACTAGTATAAACCTAAACACCCAGAAATCTACATACATTTTAATTAGTTACGAGCTTGTTAACATTGATTTACTTGATTTACGTCAAATTGAGGGCAGTAGTACTAATCAAAGTTTGACAGGCAACGTCAACTCTAATTCGTTTTATTTTTCATAACACGGTATTTTACTTACGAATTATAAAAAAAATGCTGTTTATGTAAAGAAGTTAAATTGCATTGTTTTTAACGATAAATGCTGCTTATTTGAAATGGCTTAAAAAACTACGTACCTCTGGAACAAATTGTTTCGACCTTCCTTATAGTATCTAATTATTTATAATCACAGCCATTTTTTTCTAATTTTCAGGTCTAAAAAAATGTTGATACTTGTTATGCAGTTCTCTATGACAATAAGTCAAATTAATGAATAATTATAATCTGATTATGCATCTGCATAAAAAGTGGATTATGCAAAAGAGAACCGACCTAGATAAAACCGGCGACAACACTTCCCGTTTGAACGTAATTGAAAAGATTTTTGTTAGAGATAAATCAAATGAAAAAGTGAATTTAATATTTGTACTAAAAGAAATCCTAGTAAATATTTATTGGAAAATATATAATAAAACCGATAAACGGTGGAAAATAAAGAGTTTCCAGCAGCCCACAAAAACGTCTTCAAGTTAGCGTTGGACGAACAAACCATCTTGATCATTCAACGCCAACTTGAAAAGATTTTTTTCGACCATAAATTATTATCGGTGAAGCTCACACAAGCTTACACATAATACACAGTTCTTCGCCTTTATTGTCAGCCATAAAGTATTAATTAACTCTATTGAACATACCATCAATTACCCGCCTTTCCCTGACATAAAACTCTCGATTGTTTACATAATTATGATTAATTCATAAGCTTAAGTTGAATGACCTTAAGGGCATTGTATATGAGTCAAGTTTATACTCACCGTTTGTTGTATGAGATCAAAATCGTTAGCAAGATCTTTGCTGTTGTTCCGGTAGTCGATCATGCTCTGAGTGAGACCTTTATCAAAGCCTTCAGTAAGCTTTGTGCGATATGCGAAAATTGATATGCCAGCACCCAGTTCCAAGACGAAGACAATCGCCAAAAAGGCACCATACTGGAAAGTGAGTAGAAAGTTTACCCAAGTGCACCCAATTCTTTAAACGAGTCCAACAAGTCTCTCACGTACAATATTAAAATAAGTAAAACGTTGGTCAGTAGGTTGTTCAACCAAGACAAAACAGCTTATTAAAACGCTATTACAATGTTCAACGATTTAACGAGAAATAGTACTTGCGGAAATGCCCAATTTGTAGGTAAAGTGAAGCAAACAAGAATAGCCGGTTTAATTGTTTATAGTTATTTTTATTATTATTTTCAAGCTGCCAGTTGGAAAGAATTGCACGGATGAGGTGACAAAAGAAGGCAAAATTATGCAAATATTTTCGTTCCGTTATAACAGATTCGAGCTCGAGTAATCTTCGCGCAGTGAGTGCGCAATAAACGTTTTTAGTTCTTTTGCCTTTCAGTACTGACCAGATGCCGCGGTAATTTGGAGAAATTTACTTACTACGTATAGGAGGACAGGTTGACCCTTTACGGTACAACAGCAGGCCAAAGAACCAATCAGAATTATTAACGATCCTGTACCAATCAGAACGTACGGAGCAGTACCCGAAAATTCGGTACTCATCTCCATGTACTTGTAAAGCTCCACCTCCATCCATATTCCGATTGCCAAAATTGCGATACCAGATATCTGAAAAGCACATTCATGTAATGACGTGGCGCCTCCACCATTATGCAAAAATCAGTCCCATTTTAATGTTTAAGATCAAGGTCTTCGACTAGCTACTTTTTATCTACAAGCACCAATTACTGTCTTGAAGAAGCTAACATATGGTTTTGCATCAGCAACATAAAGGTGTATCCAGACACAATTAAACGACAAAGTGATGTAACAATTTTATCTAAAACCCCATCTACCGTATGGTACTTACCCAAAAGACGAAATTGAAGATCATCAACAAGCTCTTCATGCAAGCCATTGCAGCAACAGTCTGTAAATGTTTACTCATTCTAAAATGTTTTGTTATCAAAACTGGGGCGACCTATGCTACTTTAATAAGTAATGGACTGTAGATATGTATTAAAATTACAACGAATCAGTTCTTATCAACGTGTAAAACCGCGTAGAACACCAGCACTTTGTGATATTGTTCACCACCAGGAGCAAATTCTGATACGTTTACAAGGCGCTGTTAAACGCTTCACTGAAAAAAGAAATTTTATACAAAGACGTGGATATTGTTGTACTAACAATGGAAAAATGCGAATAATAGAATCATCTTCAGCCAAAACTTTCACTCTTTTATGGAATTTTGTGTTAAATAAAGCACTAAATTTTATTGTTGGACGCCGTTTATCGTTTCAGAGGTGGCGTGTAATTTTGGTAAATTAGAGACGGATCGATGCCGACGCTAGGCGTCTACGCTACAGGTTGCTATATGCGTCATCACAGTGTAATTTTATTTAACATATTTGCAAAATAGAAAGTAGTAAATAAAATGTATTTTATTTTTACGTTGTAGAATTACTGTTCTTGTCACACCGGAATTGGATATCATGATTCTGCGAAAACTTAAATTATTTCGGTTTTTTGCTTAAGTAAACATAACTTCTTATTAGTCCTGTCACGAGACATGATCTTGAGACGTCAACACAGACTGTAATTTATTTTTGCAAGTAAGCCACAAATATTTATTCTTGGGACAAAAACGAATAAGTACAGGACAGTAATTTATTTTTAACTGCGAGTATGATTTGTAGGTTGTGGTAGTGAGGTCGAATGCCACAAGATAAATAAAATTCGTAATATTAATGTGGCCACGAAGTATAAAATTGTTATAAACTTTTAAATAATTAAGAAAAAGGGCACTAAAGTGATGAAATTGAATGTAATTCCGATTGTGTAATTTTTTACATCTTCTGGTGATTCCTGTCGCTATATTGAGTTCACAACACTAATATAAACTCATAATGGCAAATTGCCAGCGGTATCATTTGTCATCATAATAAATCGGAAAATTGCAATCGTTTATATGTATTGCGATAATACTTATTAGGTAAATTCAACATCCGACAACAAATTAAACTTGATTCACGTTATTTCTCTTTTCTTGCCTCGTCTGGAGAATTTTAAATTACCTCATTTTGTCGTAAAATTTCTACGTTTTACGTTGATACTGTTATCCTTAATAATATTTGTACAAGTGTTCAATCCTTTTAAACATCCTTTTTCCATTAATAAGATCTATGCATTATACTTCAAAGCAATTACAAGCGCTTTAGTAAGTATTGTTCATTGTTATGTAAACGTGTAAATATCGGAAACACTGCTGTTATTAAAGGTAAAAGTTAAGTGTGGTTTAAGAGAAAACGATAATGTCACTTACAAACAATCACAGTTATGAGAATTATTCTCTCGAGCAATAAGATAAATATTGCAATAAATCGTTTTCACAAATGTTAACTTGATATTTTCTTAGGTCTTGCAGCTAGTAGAACACAAAAATACGGGTTTTCTAGTTTATTTGTCTGTCTTCGTATGTATATTGCACGGATTTGTACCAATTGTTATCTAATTAAAGCAGATTCTGATTTTTGTAGCATTGTTTAAGTAAAAATTATGCTCATATTGTTAAACTAACGTTGTTTGTAATTAATTAACAATAGTCAATGTCAATGTCAATGTCAATCATTTAGACACTGTAAAAACCAAAGTAATGAAAAGCCAAGATTTGGATTTGGATTTGAAAAACTATTTTTTGAATAGTCTGCACCATAACTGCAAATTTGAAAATTATTGATCGACACTCTCTAACTTATTAACGAATTTTTTCTCAATAGGATCCCTTATATCTTAACAATAATTTTAAAAGAATGATTAAGACGAAGAAATATGTATAACAGACTGAATTCTCTCGTCCCGGAAGTACAATTAAATTCATCCAGATAATATTAATCGTAGTTTTTCTGAATTCATTAATGTAGCACCGATATTCCGCCACTGCCTTTGATTCGAAGGCATGTTATGAAAACATATTCTGTTGACTTGTTTATATTTGGTCTGGCGCGGAATGTTCTTTCGCACTTCTCCACCGATGATAGGAAATGGAGACTCGATCAACAACTGCTCCAAAAATATGACCGATTGCAACATGTTCCGATCAATATTTCAGCAAGGGTACGTATGTTAATTCAAACACATGCAGTGTAATATTAATATTGAAAAGAATTCGCCTCTCCATAGGTCTGAGTTAGGCGTACGTGGTCACGTATTTGTGAGTTAAGAAGAAAAAACAACAACAATTATATAATAATCTCGTGTTTTGTTGCTGGATGAACTTGAAAAAATTTTTTGAGTTTGTAGTGTAATATTTTTTAGGAATTTGAAAAAGTCTTGAGTGCTGCAGTGTTGGTTTTTTAGTTCTGGAGACTCTTGAGTACCCATGGTGTATTATTTTGGGAGCCTGTTTTTGAGTTAATTTTGGGACCCCGTTTTTTTTTTTGTTGAAAATTTTAAAACAATTTCGAGGTTCTAGGGATTCCTGTTTGGAAAGAATTTGAAACTGCTTTGGAACCTTTAGTGTCTTTTCTTATAATAATTTAACTAAATTTCTTAAAGGATACGTCATTTGCTAAAATCAGTGTTATCTTAGCAGGTACTCTGTCCCCCCTCCCCAACCTCTATTTTCTTAGAGGATATGTCATTTGCCAAAATCAGTCTTAAGAAGTACTAGCCCCACCCACCCGCCCTCTCTTTTCTTAGAGGGTATCTCATTTGCCAAAATCACTCTTATCTTATCAGGTATTAGCCCCGCCCACCCACCCTTTCTTTTTTTGGAAGGTATGTCGTCTGCCAAAATCAGTCTTATTTTAGTAGATATGTTAGCCCCGACCACCCGTCCTCTATTTTATTAGCTGGTATGTCATTTGCCAAAATCATCCTTATCTTAGCAGGTACTAGAACCGCCCACCCACTCTCTCTTTTCATAGGGGGTATGTCATTTGCCAAAATTAGCTTTATCTTAGCAAGTACTGATGATTAACTGTTACAAAAAATGATCAAAATTTGCAAACATTACGAGCTTACTTATATGCACAAGGCAGGAATTTTGAAGATCTTCTCTAGTGTTTAGTTGGTTATGGTTTGATGGATTTTTCATCTGTTGGTTTTGTTTTTGTTTATAATTTATAAATGTCTTATTAAATGTTTTTTTTTTCTGATTTATTTATTAATGAAAAATAAGAGCTTGTTTTTTAATAATAATGCTCAACGACTAAGAACTATTGGTTGCTACGGTTATTGTCCTAAAAAAAAAATAAAAGGTGGATTTCAGTCACCATCGTTACTAATAAATCAGAAAATAAGCCGGAGATATTCATGCATTAGGTGCGTGCTGTGTTGCCAGTTTTACTTTTATAAAAAATTACGTTTTTTCGTAATCTACATCGTAAAGAATTTTTTTATAATTTTTTGGGGTCCCCGAAAGGCCCGTACATAACATATTGGAGGGTTAATTCGACATTTTCCGGACACCCGGTATAGATCATGTAACGTTGAGAAAACATGAAAGTAGCTATTCGTTAGATGAACCCTATTACAATACTTCCTTAGCTTTCGCTCGACGAATCAAAATGAATTACATATAATAGATGCTGAACTGTTTATTATGAAATGGAGTTACGTTCAATTCACTGCAGATGGCAACATTTAAATCCCGTAATCAATACTTTTTAGATGGAATAATTAATGTCGTGTTGCCAAATCATGAAAAACATCCAAAATTGCTGAAGAAGTTAGTACATGAGAAAAGATATCTTATTTCGGAATCTCTATGAATGAGTATCTTAATTTTTTTAGTTCTTTAACGAATTATGACTTCTCTATTCCTCAATAGTAATTTTTGCACTCATGACCTTTTTTGATAGCTTTCGCGCATTCACCAGAGTACGGGAGGTCGAACTTCCCGCACACGTGCATTTAACTTCCCGTTGCCAAGGAAACCTTAAAATACTCGGGTAGTGTCAACATTGTGACGTGTTGACGGCGCTGTCAATGGCGTTGTTTATAAATAACTCACAGTTAATCTCTTCAGTTTAAAGGTTTATTCGTCGCAAAAAATATTGTACACAACACGTTCGTGAGCCTGCTTCCCGCATTCACGCAAATGCGGCACTCCCTTCGGTCGTGCCTCAAACAAGCGTTCATGCGGGAAGCAGGCTATCCCGAACTAGTTGCGTAAATTACTATTACACAACTAGTTCGGGATAGCCTGCTTCCCGCATGAATGCTTGTTTGCGGCACGACCGAAGGGAGTGCCGCATTTGCGTGAATGCGGGAAGCAGGCTCACGAACGTGTTGTGTACAATATTTTTTGCAACGGTTTATTAAACTGAAGAAATTAACTGTGAGATATTTATAAACAATGGCGCCGTCAACACATCACAATGTTGACACTACGCGAGTATTTTAAGGTTACCATGGCAACGGGAAGTTAAAATGCACGTGTGCGGGAAGTTCGAACTCCCGCACTCTGGTGAATGCACGAAAGCCATCAAAAAAGATCATGAGTGCAAAAACAATTTTACATATGATTCAAAAATTTTTATCTCAAAAATTGAGACGATGTAGTATTTATGCGATGTCTTTTCTATTCGTCAAACAATTTTACATACGATTTAAGAATTCTTATCTCAAAAATTGAGACGATGTAGTATTTATGCGATGTTATTTATTAGCTGACACACACGCAAAAACTGAAATGAAAATTCTCAAAAAGGGAAAAGTTCTAGCTTGCTGAAAATTTCGACATCTTTATCCAAAGTTTATCAAAGTATTATTTTTACACAAACTAAAGAAAAACAAAATTAAATTATTAAATTAGATATTAATTACTTAGACTGCGAAATAAACTCATCCGCCGCCCCGGTACGACGCAACGACGGCTATGAATTTTCTCGAGGGATTTCTAGTATGCACGACGAGGGCAGCGGAAGTCACGATGTGTACTCTAGAAAAACCTCGATCGCGGAACATCTAGAAAGGAAGTATGGGTTGAATAGATAGGTTTCGGGAACGATTATTATTCAACGAGTCGATTCCAGTAACTGTCGAGAGAATCGAGTCAAGTTACGCAAGAATTATTCTGTACATAATCGCTGTGTACTTAGTTGTGTAAATTTGA